GGAAAAAGGAAAGGAAAAAGGAAAGGACAAAGGAAAGGACAAAGGAAAGGAAAAAGGAAAGGAAAAAGGAAAGGAAAAAGGAAAGGAAAGAGGAAAGGAAAGAGGAAAGGAAAGAGGAAAGGATTGGTGTGGCATTCTAAGTGTTACAAATGCAGCCGGGAGGGACAAAAATCGTCAAGGAAAGCATAATTCATGTGGAAATCAGCAAAAATCATAAAACACGTGCCCCCAAGACACTTGGACGCATTCTATGTGTAACATTTTTGGCAGGAGAAAGGAAAGGAGAAAGGAAAGGAGAAAGGAAAGGAGAAAGGAAAGGAGAAAGGAAAGGAGAAAGGAAAGGAGAAAGGAAAGAAGAAAGGAAAGGAGAAAGGAAAGGAGAAAGGAAAGGAGAAAGGAAAGGAGAAAGGAAAGGAGAAAGGAAAGGAGAAAGGAAAGGAGAAAGGAAAGGGGAGAAAGAAAAGGGGAGAAAGGAAAGGAGAAAGGAAAGGAGAAAGGACAGGAGAAAGGACAGGAGAAAGGAAAGGAAAAAAAGGAAAGGAAAAAGGAAAGGAAAAAGGAAAGCAAAAAGGAAAGGAAAAGGGAAAGGAAAAAGGAAAGGAAAAAGAAAAGGAAAAAGGAAAGGAAAAAGGAAAGGAAAAAGGAAAGGAAAAAGGAAAGGACAAAGGAAAGGAAAAAGGAAAGGAAAGAGGAAAGGTTTGGTGTGGCATTCTAAGTGTTACAAATGCAGCAGGGAGGGACAAAAATCGTCAAGGAAAGCATAATTCACGTGGAAGTCAGCAAAAATCATAAAACACATGCCCCCAAAACCCTTGGATTCATTCTATGTGTAACCTTTTTTGTAGCATTCTAAGTGTTAATCCGTGTGGTTAATTTTCCAAAACGTCATTCTAAGTTTCAGTTCGCTACTATATATATATTATGTGTGCATCGGGAAATCCATTGATACCATATCTTAATCCATATGTTTTTCAAATAACATATACCTAATATACAAAAAACGTGATGAAATTATATATCCAAGATTCATGTTCAGCTCCAACCCTCGCAACTGCAAGTCCGACAGCAATACCAATGCCTCCCTCCAACGTGCGCTCTGTCCACACGCCGAAACGGCTGCAGTGTAGAGAACCTGCAACATATTCTGTGGGTGTTTCCAAAACAGGCAGCTTGAATAATTTTCCACCCCAAAAAAGCACTACCATCTGGTTATTTAACATAGCCATGGAAAATTGCCCATTTATGGATGGTTTACCTATTAAAAATGGGTGGATCTTTCCATGGCTATGTAACAAATAACCAGAGGGTAAACCCCAAACAGCATCTATCTTAGTGGAAAAAAACTGGTCAATCCAGTCAATCCCCTGCCAGGCGCCACATTTCGTTGCAGCGCTGCCAGATCCACCAAGGACAGGTGGTGCAAGGCGAGTTGCCACTGGCCACGTTTCCCACATGCGCCGATGGCCTTGCCGTGGGCGATGACATCTGGCGTTTGGACCATGCAGAATGGATTGGTTGGGAAAATCACGAAACCGTTGTGCAGTACATCTATGTGAATACAACATATGTATATATATATAATCAATGGTTTCCTGGTATACCAATGGTAATATATTCAGTTGTATATGGCAAAACCAATGATATATGCGATATACCATTGATATACCATTGATATATCATTGATATACCATTGATATACCATTGATATACCATTGATCAGTTGGTATATATACATATGGTGAATACTACCAATTCTATATACAACCCACATTGTTTTGTCCTGCAGATTTTCCCTACCAAGTCCTGGAGCCAAATGGCGACCAAAGAACCCATTTGGAAACCGATGAGCCTACGGCAGGCTCCCAGTTGTGGGTATGGTGCACATAAATATGTATATATATATATGTATTAAAATTAAAAAATGATATTTAGAGAATGGGCATATAGTTAATGGGGATTATTTAAACTTACGAGCCACCTTATACCTTTGAGAAGCAAATAATTGCAGCAGAAAACTCGCCAGAGTCCTGGCTGGATGCCGAAAATCGGGCAGCCTAAACATCCAGTGAAGTATCAGTCCCATATGCTCCATGTATGGAATATCTACCAACATTCCCTAAAAATCACCCAAATGTAGGTAAAATATACCAAACATGGAGCATATGGGAGTGTCAATGTCCTGCATGAAAAGAGCAAGTGCAGGTAAGAGCAAACTTCTGGGCGAAGCCAATATCATGACTTGCGAATTCCTGCGACATATCGTTGCCATTCATTGCCGGCATTCGTACAGGGTCCAAAAAAAAACAGAACAATATCAACATGAATGCATAGATGCGTGTATACATATATATATGGTGGTCCTGGTAAACTCAATAATATCGTAATATACCACTCCATTAACCAACCATTTGGCAGTCATTTTACATGGTCCCATATATGGGTTGACATAGACCTCCATTGGGTATGGTTTATTATCAGTTTTACCACATTATATATTTGAAATTAACCATGTATGAGGTTCAGGTTACACCTCAGTGTTTGCATCTCAGTGTTTGAGGCTGGGCAGGGCTGCAGCAAAAGTATATCAACATGAACGTACCCTAGGGTAAACTAACGTAGATGTGGAACATAACCCATTCATGGATAAAATACAAATTGAATTTATGGTTGATTTATCTAGTTTGCCCCAGGGAAAATATGGGTATGGGTCAATACCTATAGATACATTTTTAGTGGGATGAACATCCATTTACCAGCTATTTTGGGATTCACTAGGTACCAGGGTTTTGACCCATCCCCATATACACTTAGATACATGGGGACATGTTTCACTTCAAAGCTGTCCAATTCTGATTATTAGGCCAGGACGACCAGGACGACCCCAAACTGCTGTTCACAACTGAGGTCGCCACAAAACTCAAGGCCTCCTCATCCGTATCGGCCGGTAGGTTGCCTACGAACAGCTGTCCTCCTGGTGGCTATGTCAGCTGGTTCTATGGAAATGAGGATTTAACTCTCAACAGTTGGTCTTTGTACCATTCCACTAGGGGATCTAACCAACAGAAACTGAGGATTGTTTGATTTGTTTGTAATATAGACTATAGATTGAGCTTATTTTAGTGGGATACCAACTGATAAGCATGGAATTCAACGGATCGTTTTTTCATGAAAAAAGAACGGTTTCCAATGTTTCTTCCCATAGAATATTATGTTTCAACCCAGTTCTTCCTTCAACCGTTTCTGCGAGGAAACAACAAATAATGAGTCCATGGACATTTACATTTCTAGCGTCCATGATAGTCTGCAGGTGTGCAACCAAATCCGGAAATTGAAGCTTCACCCCGCATATTTGGTCACAAATGCTGCCCCCATGAACGTGGATAGCGTTCCACTACCACGTTTGACTGTCAGAACATGTTGTGCCATGGCTTAGGTACGTCGAATTCTGGGATTTCTTGAATTCATGGTGACCCCAAAAAAAAACCGCCAAATGTAGCAAGTTTTCGACAGGATTCCCATTGGGGGTTCAATTTCAACGGCCATTTGGGCATCTGAATTTCACCGAAAACGCTGGCATTTGAAGGGTTGGCAACGCTGACAGGAGGAAATGCCTTGGGCTGCAGGATCATCTTTCAGCCTTGAGCAAGCTAACCTGACACGGGAAAAAAACTCTTTGCATGTCCCTATATATATATATATACATACATATACATATACAAAATACTGCAATATCTGTGATACATAAATAATTAAATTTATATATATATATATGTATGTATATTCACCATATTATGAAACTGCATTCAAATAGTTACAGATAGTATGATGTACCTCTCAAAACATGGATTTCTTTGCAATTTTCGGATTGCGTGAATCATCACCAGTGCCACCGCCGGCCATGAATTCTCCTCGCCGACCATCGCGACTCTCCCAGTGCGGACCTGTGGGGATCGCTGGGTTGCTGGGAAAATGGTGATGTGGAAAAGCACTACGGACAAAATTGTATATAATGGGTACTTATATGGGGAAAATGGTATATTATATATATATGTGGTATTTAAATGTACTAAAGTCATCACTACTCTACTTAGATGGGCATTGGTTCGTTAGTTCACTAGTTAGTCAATGGATATATGGATTGTAATTGGGACATAGTGGTGTATTAACCCAGTTGCTAGCCAGTTAGCCCATGGCCCATCCAAGACCAACTGAAAGAGTCTGGATGACCTCGTTGCAGGAAGATCCCACAGAATCACTGTAATGTCACACCAAGAGCTGGACAAATACTCCCTTCCCTTGTTCATATTAAACACCCCCAAGGAACCATGGTCCAGTGGGGGGATTTACCCTCTGGTGAACTAACATAGCAATGGAAAATCACCATTTTTAATGGGAAAATCCACTATAAATAGCCATTTTCCATTGCTATGTTAGTTCACCAGAGGGTACATGTTTTTTTTTAAAATCATTTTGTCATATCTCAGATACCCTCTGGTAATTTAACACAGCTATAGAACAATGGCCCATGTATAGGTGACTTATCTATTAAAATTGTTAGTGATGTTTCATGGTTTATGTGCACTTACAGAGGATATCCTGCAAAAGCTGTTTCCAAAGTGTGAAATTACCCTCTGGTTATTTAGCATAGCCATTGAAAATGGTCCATTTATAGATGTTGTTTGATGATATGGTGATTCTCCATAGCTACGCTAAATAACCACAGGGCATATGACATGATATGACATATGCCGTACACAGCTCAGAAATGCCAAACGCTTTTTTGACCATCACAATAGGGGTTTCACCAGAAATCGCGTTCACACCCCAAAGTCCAATTTCAAAAGAGAATGCCATGGTTTCAATTGACCGGGAAACGCAATTACACCAAGAGCATGCAATAGACACCTGGAAACTCAACCACACCTGGAAACTCAATGTCTATTGAAACTCAATGTAGCTCTTTGGTTTCAATAAACAAATTGAGTTAAAGTTTTTTCGCTTTATATGACATCTTGTATATCAAACATCATATATATAAAGTCTAAAAACAAATCCATACAGACACATAATATATATATATACATAATATATATATATATATATAAATGTATATATGTGTATATATATATCTCTCTCTCTCTCTCCCCCGAATTTTGGATTTATTTCTTCACCTTTCTGATCCTTTCTGCACCATGACCCACACATCAGCCCTGCAGCATCCGATGTTTGGCCTCCTCCATGACGATGCCAATCTGGCGACAGGAATCACAGCCGACAGTTTAAACCGATGATGCCGTGAAATGTGAAGTACTATCTGCCTGTTTCAAGGCAAGAACGGCATATGGGTAGGTTATATCATGTAGATTAAAAACAAAAAATGAAAAAAAACATATTTCAAGTCCATGTGCGTTTACATCTGATTCCATCTGTAACTATGATTGTATGTATGAAATCTCCAAGCATTGAGGCTTGCCGGTCTAGCAGTCTCCTATGATGTGTGGGGCTTGCCGGTCCAGCAGTCTCCTATGATGTGTTTCTCGAACGTCTACGTCATGTATATACATAATTACAACATTATGGTCACTGGGAGTCGGGTGCCTGAGCCATTTCCACGGCATACTTTTCAATTCAACAAACCAACTAGAAAGTTCATGGATCAACATGGTATAGTAATAAGCCGGGCGTTTGCCAGTTTATTTTTCAAGCTTCAAACATTCGGGTTTGGGATTCTGCCTCAATATTTCGCACAGGAGGTCCAATATCAAAGAATTATATAAGCTGTTTTCCTACGCGCAAACTTCTAAGGCTAAACAGGGGGTACAAAATGGTACAAGCATATAGCCATAGAAACAAAACCGAATCATGGAAATGGATGGGCGTCCAGGCCCAAACACGCGTGACTACAAAAGACCGCGAGCGTTAAATGTGACATGGTCTCTGCGACAAGCGCAATTTTTGAAATTGTCTTTGGATTTTCATGGTCGGTGTATATATATATATATATGTATATATATGTATATATATGGCTCAAACAACGGGTATGAATCTTTCCTCGGTAATCCGGACTTATGGAACGAGTGAATTACGTATCAAGATCGTATAAGAGGCTTGATCCTGACCTACTGAGAAGGTATATCAAAGTGGCCGGGAACCCGAGTTGACCCAGGCATCTGAGACCCTGGCTTTGATGATTTTGATGGCCGCCCATCCAGGCGCTACCCCACTCCTGCGCCAACGACTTTGTGGATGGCAATCCCAGTTCTGATGAAAGAAAGGATTGAAGGCCCGGGGGATCGTGAGGATATCCCAACCTAGAAAAAACAACTCCCGATATGGCCCCCAAATAGATAGCAAACCATAGTAAAGCATGATTTCTGGTGCGTATTTCACACGGAGGGAGGGAGAGAGAGAGAGAGAGAGAGAGTATAAAGTAGTTTTGATGGTTAAAGTTAACTGCCCTTGGTTTGCGCATGCTACTGTCACAAACAACGTCGTCTTTGGGCTGCCAACGCGCCTCAGGCTGGGCCTTGCCGTCCTTTCCTGCACCTTTGCCTCACCATCACGCCATTGATTGGTAATACAATCTATAGGACATTGTGTATATCATTGATGTAGTGGTTTTATATGGTTTTATATCAAATGATATATATCATGATATATGGTTTTATATGGTTTTATATCATGTAATAGCAAATAAAAACAATACTTGAATAAATGGCAAATGACTTAAAACGCATATAGACCAATAAACATAGCAATAATTGTTCAATGAAATTTAACGGGATTTTCTTTTGGGGCTCTTTAATCTGGAGGAAGGGAGTATCCACCAAAACTATCACGGCTGAAGATTGCATCGAATGCGAGAGAAACATAGGTACCATATATGGTACCATAGTTATTATTCTTAGCAGGCTGGCCTTTCATCCAAAGAAAATAAAGCATCACAATTGGTGTTCACCTCCCATTCCCTGGTGTGTTGTTTACCCCAATATCTATGGTCCATACCCGGCTATCCCAACTCATTGCATCCCAGAGTTCTCACTGATGGTGAAATGAGAAGCCAACGACGTGGGACGTGGGACCAACATATCCAACATGTGCCCCTGGATCCTCTTGTGGTATGTAGAGTTGACTCTGTAAAAGGTCACCCATGGTCAGCATTACCCTCTGTCATTCCATTGGGTCCTGGTTGGTTCAGAACGGCTTACCAGGGCTTACGAGTTCATGGATCACGATCATCCCCTGAGAAATAATACCTCAAAAATTCACCCAACCATCAAACAAGCATCATTTTGAGTGTGAAAAAATGATGTAAACAAATCCCATCAACCTACCAGGAGCCACGGCTCATTTGGTTTACCCCAGTCCAATGATCGTTTTCGCCCAAGTCCTGCCGTCAACTCCCAGTTTTCTGCGCCTTTTTTTTGGCGCTCATTGGCCCACTCCACCTGGATATTCTCAGGCTGAGGCAACTGTTCGTCAACATCTGTGCTACCATTTGGTGGTCCGATCATGGGATGTCAAGTGAGATAATATTGGATAATCTGTGATAATATATGATAATATTATAGTAAGGGAGAAAAGAGAGATGATATGAGAACACAATAGAACACATGATAGTAGACATATACGGAATAATAGGAGATACATGCGGAATAATAGGAGACATAGTAGGATTTAGTGGGATATACTGGCATACTGCCACCACAAAGGTCACCATTGGCGGATTGCGCCCTTGAAGTTCTGCCACAGAAGTGGTAAATTGTTTTAAGGATTATTGGCTAGAATCAGGTCTGTGGGTGAATAATCCATCCTAAAATGATCAACAGCATCATCATGTTTGGTACAAGAAGTAAATTTTGAAACCAGATGATATTTTTCTCTGCAGCTAAGCTGCCACCCTGAAACTACGAAAGTCTTGGGAAACAGCATCCAATTTTTATGCACACTGTTGTGTTGTGGTTAACAAAAAAACTAAAACTAAACTCCAACATCATCAGCCAGCTAACCACTTGCGCAGGCAGCTTCTTTGGCAGTAGACTCTGCACGATTTTGAGATTTCTGCAGTGAAACATCATGCGTCCTCCTGCAGTTTTGCAGGGCTATGCTTTATGCCAAGTGCTGACGGAAGTGGCTACTTTTCAGTGGGTCGATCTAAGGGGATTTTTCTTCATGAAACCTTCGCGGCTTTACCATGAAACGTTGGGAGTCCTGTAATTTCGCCCTTCGAATTCTCAAAGCAATTCTGGGAACATCTGCGGCAAGACCTCAAGCAAAAAGCTCCAACACAAACAGGAAGCCCTTCGCGTCAGCACGGTGCAATCGTGCCATATTGCCAGGTCAAATGGACATCATGCTTTCCCCGGTCCCCGAGAATTGGCTGCACTTTCCCATTGGGGTCCCTATGCCAAGCAAAAGCGTTAGCCTCAAAGGTGGTAACCTCAAAACAATGGTAGTATGCTGAAAGGGCTGTGCCCATTTGATTGACTACAATTCACTACCATGCTTACTAGAATTCCCATCCCAACTTCCACTGAAAAAATCTATAAATGGAAAACACTTGATATGTTCCTTTGGCAGGTTGGATTACTGGAGCCTACCAGTACATGACACAGCCAAAGAGGCTCTCATGAAACTGGGCCATTTTCACTGGCAACCCTGAGATGTTCATTTGTCCGGTGAATGTCTGGTCAGTACTCACCTTCCACAAACCTCAAGGTGCACAGCAAAAACGGTCATAATGACGTCAGCAGAGTCCGCATCCCGAAAAAACGCCGCATGGAGTGCAGAAATCCATGTGGGTAGCTAGTCCCCGAGTTCAACCTTGAACTTTGGCAATTGATGATTCAGGAATTCTGGAAAAAAGGTGATTGAAACATCATTGAACAGGATTGCGTGCATTCTCCCATCAGTCAACAATCATGCGCTGGAAAGCCCTGATAGGAGGAAAGCAAGAGACCTCCCCTAAACCGCACTCTCTCCACTTAGGAATGTTTCTTTTTAGGTATATAGCTAAGTTGTCAAAACACTTTATTCTGGCCAATAGGTTCCACAAAGATGTGTTTTCCCTGTCGCCGTTGCAGAAATCAACCACCAAACGCCCACACAGTTTTCAAAGCAAAACGGGAACTGTTTCCAATGTGAAATATTTCATTTCGAGGTTGTTTATACCTCCACGTAATGTAACCTGTTGTTTGGGCGGGTTGTGTTCTTGCAACTAGTGCTATCTGTGGTAGCCTACCCAGTTTATCCCAGTGTGCTAGATGACATCCTGTCCATCAAACCTGAAGGGTTCCTCATAGCTCAATGATTCTTGGGACGAAACTAAATCGAATAGCTACACTATATTTATCATATAGTTCATATATACACTATATTCAGGATAAAACCAAAAAATATTAAACATTCCCACCCGTATGCAAACTGGCTGAATACAAGCATAGATAGTCTGTGATACGCTGACCTAAAAATAAACAACACGACATTAATGTGGGTCACGTATGCATTGCAGCACGCCTAATTTGAGGCTTAACATTTACACCCTTGATCCGTAGCTTGCGAAATTGGACACCCTGACCCTTCATATTTTCTATGTCAACAAAATCATGATTACACAAAATGACTAGAACCCCATCCAGCCACTGAGAAATCCATTGAATTGGATCATGCATGCTCATGGTTTGTTAGTTAACTATAGGAAATCAACGTCAACGATTTATAATTACCTGGGAATTTTATGGTTTATGAGAACCTATAGTTGTTATAAACGTTGCTAACGTTAAATAGAGAACATCGATACGCCTCCGTTTTTGGTGTTTTGCGAGTTACCCGATGGGCCCGTAGTCCACATGTTTGTCGATGGATGGACCACCACCACTGACCTGGCACAGCGACGATTCGACGATGGCAACGGCAAGTGATGGTTTGATGGTGCAGAAAACAAGGAAATAACATGACAGGGCTGGGAATAATCATGGTCTATGGGTGGTTTGATGGTTTCTGATGGTTTGATGGTTTCTGATGGTTTGATGGTTTGATGGTTTATGGCTGGTAACATGACAGGGAATCACAATAAACATAAAAAAAGCTACTGAATATGGAATAATATAATATTGTGAATCATTGAATAATCAACGAATAATCTGATGGTAATGGCACATAGTTAATGTTTTTTTACTGCAAATTGAATAATGGGAATTCCATTCAAACTAGTAATTTACCAACTTGGAAGCCTGTAAAGCAGTGTCATGGTTACCACCCATATTTTGATGGTTGGAATGCAACCCATCTATGGGCAATTTAGGGGATGCTTTTTATTTTATTGCTTTACTCACATTATACATGAAATAAAAATCAAATACATCAAACTACAAAGTTAAACAGGAATAAAAGCTTGGTTAATGTCTGAAGTAAACATATAACAGTATTACCACAAGAAATGATGGCCACTTGTGCATATCTTCAACATGTCACTGGCTGGCCGTTTCTGCAAGCATGGCAGCATGGCCCAAGCCAAATTCACCAGCACTTTCGAACTCTCGAGGCCAGTCCCAACCTGAGTGACTTGCCAGCGCATCAAACATGGCGTACCCATGAATGACAGAAAAAAACATAAATCATCAACTTCTCATTCTTCATTGGGGTGGTTTACAGTAAGGGAATATCTACAGGAAACTATGGTCTGTTTCATGGAATGAAAGGGTGTCCTGTGAATTTACCCGTCAACCAATCCATTGAATTCTCCTAGTTACAGTGGATCATATGCATACGTGCATTTCTAAGGTTTCTGACAATAAATGTGTAAATAGGAAACTAAATTATAGTGTCATTCATATTAATTTTGAATACTTGCGAATGTATAACCATTATTTTCACATTCACCATAGGTCAAGCGGCAGCTACCCTTAACCAACCTGGCCGCATCATCCTTTGGAGGGTGATTTCCCGTAGCACAGTGTGGAATTACCGGAGGGCATCCGTCCTTCATCATCGGTTATCTGGTTGGTGGTTTTAACCATCTTGAAACATATTATATAGTCAGTTGGGATGATTTTATTCCCAAATATTATGGAAAAATAAAACATGTTCCAAACCACCAACCAGTATGTTATCTACTGCACAATGAATCCATGAATCACTCCGCTTATCGCATCGCCCGGCCGAAATTTCGCTTCGGTCACCACTCCAAGCCATTTTTCACGGCTAATCGGAGATACCCAGAAAAATATGGGTTTATCTGAAAATAGAGTACAGTATCCCCAATTCCAATGAATTTCCATTATTTTCCCTATTAAAATGTCTACAGTATTTGGGGGCGGCATACCCCATTTTCAGACACAAGCCTATTGGCTCTCTTTTGGATTCTTTTACTCATGTAGTCTATTTTACCATGAACATTGCAAACAAAATGCCCGCTGATCCCTTTTCCCTAATAGTGCAAATACACTCAAAAACCTTGCTTCAGTATTGGACCATCTTGTATCTAATCATTTTGGGGCCCTTCCAATTGAATATGATCGCGGGACGGGATTCGAATTTACCCTCCGGAAAACCAACATGGCGTGCTATAGATGTGATTTTCCTATCAAAACCTCCATTCAACTGCAGTGGATTTCGCAGCTTGCCATGATTTGATGACACCAGAAGGTACGAGTACCAGCATTGTTATCCCAATATCCCTATGATTATCCATTAATGTTAGGGATATCATCTATCCTAATGGGAAATCACAGGGATATCCCTATGTTATCCCATTAATTAATATACCCCAATATCATTAGATTGTTCCATTAATCACCATCCTAGAGAAATCACCTATCTATCGATTACCGACATCAACGAGGCACCATCTGATACCTCAAGCCAGGCCCGTTCACCAGCGTATCATGCGAGATCTGGAACCTCTCCTGCCGATGGTTTTTGGATGGTGTGAAAAATTGGGGGAATGATGGATGAATGATGTTATTGCTGCCCAGTCCTTATGAGGCTCGATATTTTGGAGGAAATGCAATGCGTTTTTTCTTTTAAAGTCGACCTGAGGAGAAAACCGAGAGGTGACTGCAGTGTCTATCCTCCCGTAATCAAACGTAGCATTAGAAATCCAGCTAGAGCTGGGAAAATTTATTATAGCTGGGACAATCCATGAAAACGTGTCTATAACCTCTAGTTGATGATTATTTCAAGAGGATTTTCCCAGCTGTAAACCTTCATTTAGCTCCAGGATTTGTTTAGCAGGGGGAAATGCACGCATTTGGGGATGTTTAATATTAGGCGGATGGGAATAATGAATGATTATGATGAACCGTGTCACTCCCATCCCCTCAACTGACATTCAGAACTGCCCATCCCCGCAGGAGGTGCGTTGTAAATACTCCCTTTTTGGGGTGAACTTCCCATTTGGTCCGTTGGGTAGATAGTAACTTTGATACTCTATCCCAGCGATAAGCAAAGATAACGCGTTATACTTATTGGTTGGTAGGGATTTCCCTGGTGCGACAATCCCCAATGTGTAGGATAGTATAATCATCAATAATCATCAACCAGCAGGACCGCAGCCACTGCTCATGGATTTGCTGAGGAGGAAACCCCAAAACATCGAGTGAATATTCCTAGTCGTAAGTCCCCCTTGGGAAAATAAGGCCAGTTTTGATCGACAAACCACCAATCAAGGATAATGCTTAGTAATGGTGATTCCATGGGTTATCTGGTTCCCAAATGGTTGTCGAACTTTGATGGCTAGTAATGGTTAGTAATGGTAAGTGGTTACTTATTACTAAAATGGATGTAACGATTTTTTAATGGACGTTATTAACCATGCTAACAAATGGATAGTAACGATCCGATGATTCTTTCATCATCGACCGCAACCGACCGCGCCAAGCGCCTTGGTGAGGTACTCGTTCTTAAAGATGCAGCTGAGCTCGCAGGACACCACCAAATCCACCCGATGCAGCTGAATCTCCAGGCCGAGGTCGAATTCCATCTGGCGAAATTGATAGAAGTATGGGCTTTCCCCGGAAACCGCGGGCAAACCATGCGAAACTATCGGGAACATGTGGATCTATAATATATGTGTTTGATTTTTTACGGTAATTTTATGGAAACAAGTTAGGGAAATTGTGATTTAGCCATCAAACATAGTTCTACTGTATGAGGGTATATAAGAAAAGGCTATAACCAGCTACAAATGATGACGTCACCAAGAACAATGCTGATATCATAGGAGGATATTTCATGGGATATATCAGCAGGAATCTAATGGTACTTTAAGATTGTTTTGTATGAGTTAAGAAGCATTGTTTTCATGGGAAATAGGATATGAGGCTGGGAAATCCCCGAAGTAAATTGGGAAATGGGAAAATCATCGAAGTGACTGGTGAATGTTGAATCATGGGATTCACCAATTCATCTGGCACTCTCCATCGCCTTCTCAAGGAGTTCAGCAGAGCTAAAGGCGAGTAAGATACAACTCCGCTAAGCGGAAAAGGAGTGTCAGCAACCCAGCTGGTGCACAAGTTGCTTCATTTCCCTCATCCACTTTGCTGGGAGACGGGATATTTCTACTACCATTCATCTGGCATTACCTTTACCTATTCCATCTGGGATTCCCATTATCTATGGAATCAGTCCAAGTAGTGGATACGTGAATAAAAAATAAAGGAAAACATATGGGGTGGAACTAATGGGATATGATTCCCACAAGTGGATGGTGGATGAGCTCAGAATTTCCAAAGGAAACGCCGTCTACATTTAATGATCAACCCGCAACATATATCAACATTTGTTACATGCTTTCCTGTAACAGTTCTCTTTTCACACTATTTTCTTTGGTTACATCCCATAACCCATAGGATCCATGGTGCTGCTATATATGGTAACATGGATCCCATCAATATACCCCCTTTATGTTAGCATATATACCAGCACCATGGATCCTATGGGTAACACCACGCATAACCGGCATCCGCGCCTTGTTTCCTGAGCCGGTCAAGTGCACCGGTGCGCTTGGCGCAGGTGCGGCGGATGCTAAAGCTCGCACTGAAAAGATGCCTCAAAAATGACACGAGGTGCCAGGAGGTGCTGCCCGACACTTAATATTTTTAAGTGAGTTAATAGTGAGTTAACCATCAAAATAGTGAGTTCATAGTGAGATATGCTATCAAATGATAGTGAGTCAATGGGCTTTGGAATGATTTACCTGGCAAAAATGGAGATTTAACCATCAAACATGGTGATTTAACCATGAATCAACAATAGCTGTATAAGGAGGATATCACGGGAAAATCTTTATGAGTGCATTGGCTAAGTTGGTTTGGTTCACTAGCTTAACTATGGTTTATGGAGTTTATGGGAGATATTGAGCCACATGGGACTATAAAACCACCTGTTTTTCACGGTTGATGCCCAATTTTCCACGGTCTCTTGTTCTTCTTTATTTTGTAGACTTACAAAAAATGAATTTTCCCGCAGATCTGAGACCTGGATTTTTTTTTTTAACCTCAAATCCATCCGGTACAAACAGAAGCTGATGCACCTGTTTGTTTGCGGGAAACTGTGACAATGCAACCAGTAATGTCAATGGATTGGCATTCCAGGAAACATATAGAGAAAACCGAGAAAATCAAGAACACCATTTATTTTCATATGAAATATGAGGGTTTTCTGCAATTTTCCTGTAAACCGATCCAGTAATACTGGTCAATGCTATGTCATGGCCTCAAGTAATTTGAATCTGATTCGTGGTTTCACTTTATCCCGACACAACCAACCAAGGTGACTCAACCATGCACACTTGGATCAAAGGACATCGAACCATTTCCATCCGGGAATACCGCTATGATTTTTGTAAGGCGGTGTAGAATTTCAAAACAATGGCTTCGGAAGATTTTGTAGCAGGAGCCAAAAACTAACCAGGTTACATGGCTGTTATATCTGGGGATTCAACCGATCCCCTCAAAAGGCCCACCGGTCGAACCTTCTAAAACCACCAACAGCCACAACAACAAAGCAATAAGGCCAAATTTTAACCATCTTGAAAAAATACCTTACAGGAATCCGTTCGACCTCTTTGCACTGCAGGATGCCTGAAAAGGCTGACGCACTACAAAGAAAACCAAAGTATTTGCCTGGTGCCGGCTGCGAACTTGCCGAGTCTGGATGGGACCGGATGGTGTCTGCAAACATACAAGGATAGAGTGTGTGTAGTTTGATCGGAGGAAAAGACGAAGATAAAGAGTATGGTTGTTCAAAAATGACACCTTTACATATCCACCAGTATATATTCAAACATGGCAATGGACACTTCCACATGTATGATTTTCCCATCAAACACCTCAATGTTTTAGGGGGTTTTCCCCGTTGCCATGTTTGATTACCAAAGGATTTATGTGGTCCGACAACGGTGGCGACCTGACAGCTACACCTGGGTTGACGGCAAAAACAACAGATGGGGATATAATAAACATCAGTCACCATAAATCATGTGATGTTCAGCATGGCTCTTTTCAGATGGGCGGCAACAAAAGAACAATTGAGTTAGGAGGTAGTGTTCATTCTATCACAATCATACCCCATGACACGGTGGATGGAAAAAATCCTGCACCAGTTGAGAGGTGGTTTATCCCATGATTTATAGGCTTTCAACCATCCAAGGTGATGCAGGATTTCTATGGATTTCTTCCATCCCATGATAGTTAAATCACAATGTTTCATGGTAAAGTGACATCATCATGTTTTATCGTGAGCCATGGTGAGCCCTAGCTTTTTTCGAACGTTTCGAACGGGCACCACGGGCACCTTCTCCGTAGGAGAGACCGATGAAAACTTCATGCTCCGGATTCCACAGCAATGAGGCAGGCTCCTGAGCTGCGTATGGGCCATGTGAAAGAAGCCTGGGAAATTCCTGGTTGGTCAACGTTTGTAAGGTGAATATTTTACCAGCAAGAATCCCATTTAGAATCCATTTACTAAGAAGTTAACTAACGAACCAATGCCCATCTAAGTGTAGACTTTAAATCACTGAGACGTGGCTAAACTCACATGAATGAATGCCATGAAAAACACATGTAACTTTTGCCAGTGATATGTGGGGCTGAATCACACTTTATGATGCCCTTCAAAGATTTTCCAATATGTTCAAATACGTGTTTCAAAGCAATGATATCTGGGGCACAGTGGGGTTGGATCAAAACCCATTAATTGTATATTCAATTTAGAGAAAATGACACATTTACCGGCTATTTTGGTGTTCACTTTTTGGCAAAAGAGACATGATGTTGAGTGGCTCATAATAGTAGAAATAATTACAGGGGAATTCCCGCAGTTCAGAATCCGAGGAACATCACACAAATCACGAGACAAAAGTTCTTGACTGCTGTTGTGAGAATTTTGGCAAAATTCAACAACCTGGAACCTGAAAACTCACAGGGATCCTCAAACCCTCAAGTTCCCGTCAACAAATTGGAAATCCCAGCCATTTAAATTAAGAACCATTTACCCTTCTTGGTAAACCAACATATATGGGAGATAACCCAGTTATAGATGATTTACCTATAAACAAAATTTAATGTTCCATGGTTTTCACCCATGTTTCCACCAGTTCACCATAATTTCCCTTACCCTCCAGTAATTTCACATGGCTATTACGGCTATTAAAAATTGTGGAGACGTTCCATAGCTACGTTCATTCCAGGCCATAGCATCCGACAGGGCAACGCGCAACCGGCTGATGCCAGAATCTCGCAAAACGTCGGCCTGGTCGAATGAGAGGCGCGGGGAGCCCCGGACGTGAGAATGGCAAGTGGGAATCTATATATATATATATATACATATATATATAATGGTTCTGGTTTATGATGCATATATCTATAATGGGGGATACAAGTTACATACCAACTTATAACTGGGAGGCACCACATTGTATGCGTTCTTTTCTGATGAAAGTAAGGACTAGTGTGGTTTATCACATGGATGCTGATGTTATGCACATCGTGTCATATACTATATATACACATCCCTTTTGCCGTCAAAGTACGCAAGAAAATCCGTTTGTTCATCCCAGGCCGGTCGGGAATATTATGCAATCCTGGCTTCACAGCCCTTTGCCTAGGAGGAGGCAAACCATTGCCAAGAGTAATCGACCACTCTTTGGGGTAGGCACACGCACATGTATCAACAGTTTATTGATTAAAACTTGGGCTAACCTTCACTTACCCTTGACATATGTACAGTGTAGGTTGGGTCCTCTAATGCAGTCCAACCTGTGCTAGCCGTTCCAAAGTTTGAAGCCAAGCACTCTTAGACTTGGAAGGCACACCAACCCCATTGTGAAAAACCCAGACACCACCCATTCAGAACTAGATGCATTAAGCCAGTCGGTGCATCCCCAAATTTGGTTGCAATTTTCATATATCAAAAATGGCATCGTGCGAATTCCCTGAACCATCAATATCAATATATTGTCAGATGTTGATATTGTCAGATGTTGATATTGATATTTTATTTTTTTTTACAATTCCTCATCTGACAAACTGTAAAAAATGCACCACGTCATTTCGCTCAAATGAGGTTGGACCCCCCTTGACAGAACTGCCTTGACAGTCTTGGATGGTTCCAACTCAGAAGTGAACCCTTGTCATCAGCCAATGAGAGGGTCCAACATCTACCAGGTGTCTAACCGAGTCTAACCCCTAGGGTTCAAATCCTTGGATCCGTTTTTCGATGGGTTTTACTGCGCGCTGCGCTTAACAAAACGTTGCGATTTTGGGGCACGCCCCATTCCTGAACAAAACCAGTGTCCTGGCATAAGAAATCAAAAGCACATAAAACACACACATATATATATATGTATATATATAATATGTTTTTTACATTAAACACGTATACTAGAGACAGCATATCATAGACAGACATAAACCAGCTTGATTATAACTGCAGGAGTTTGTCCCCCTTTTTTCCACATGGCGAACCGGAGAATCCCCGAGTTTTCCCACAGAAAGCCTCCATTGATGAGGATTTCCCAGCCAGCCACGTTTGATTACCAAAGGTTAAACCCATTAATACGATATAGTTAATATAGTTATCTTTTCCCATTACTATCTCATCAATACCCCGGCAATAAAACCAAATTAAACTTTGATTAAAGCTCCATCTTTGATATTTTATATGTGCTCTCCTAGAAACCATGATGTTTTCATGTTTTTTTTTCCTGGTTGGGGACCAGTGACTGATCCTAAACCAGGAAGCCCCGGGCTTTGCCCCCCACCTGCAGCAGCCGATCGCCTGCGCCCAGATTGAAGGAACAGCCTTGCGCCAAGACCTGGATGGATGAACGGATACATAAATTGGGCCTTGATAAACACATACTAAAAAAACAAAAAACATATAATTACTGTATGAATGCAGAAGGTTGAAATAGGTATCACGAAGGACCGTTGGGCGGTTTATAAAGGGATGCTTTCCAACTATACATAGATACACACATATATATATAAATAAACACACACACATATATACATATATATATATACATGTGTGTGTGTGTTGATATGTTATGGGTATGGCTCAAAATTCACAGGTATGGATCGTTCCCTGGTAATCCCGACATATGGAGGTTTAATCAGGACCTTCGGAGAAGGTAAACTAACGTGGCCTGGTATGAGTGCAACTTGTCATTTTTGGGCATGGATCATGGCTATGGGTCGGGGCTATAGATCGCCTGTGGGTCCAGGGCGTGGATCGGGCCTTACATTTTGAGCCGTGGCCATCTACATGGATTTACAGTACGTTGAATCCCTTATCTTCACCAAAAAAAATTATCTTTTTTTGAACGGCCTCCAAAATGATTGGATCCAATGCTAAACCGTGGCTTCTGGAAAGAATTTGAATATTGGGGGGAGGTATTTAATTTCGTGCGGCTGTTGCCCGGGGACAGTTTGACAGTTTGATGGCTGAAGTGACTTCAAAAGGAATATCAGCGTATCTGTTTGCATCTGTTTGCAAATATATATATATATGTATATTGATGGATACCCTCCAGTAAATTGACATAGACCCTGGCAGATAGGGGTTGGAAGATGAGTTTCCACTAGAACAGCTTATTTTCGGGGTCCATGTTACTTTACCAGAGAGTAACTAACAACAAATCATTCAAAACAATGAACAAACTAGTAGCAACTACCCTCAGAACTTCTTCATCCTCAGGCAATTCATAACCAATTTATGGGCGTCACAAGCCGTGGCCTTGCTGCCGTGGTAGTGGAAGAAGGTGGCATCGGTTTCGTCCTCGTTGCCTGCCGCTGCTTGCGGCATTTCCCCGGATATGGGCATCCAACATATGATGAGATCCAATATCAATCCAAGGGACTTAGGGTGAACCCAAATCTTTAGCATGGAAAATAGCATGTCACCCAATATCTATATCCCATGAGCCACTCGGCAGTACTTGAAACCCTGCGCAGGGAAGAACAAACAACGTGGACATCCCGATCTTTGATAAGAAACAAATACCCTCCGGTTATTTTACATAGCCATGGAAAATCACCATTTCTAATAGGTAAACCATCTATAAATGAGCCATTTCCCATGGATATGTTAAATCACCAGAGGGTATCGTTCAAGGTTGTCAGCAAGCCCACTTCAACTTGATTCCACAAGAAAACATACCCCACCTTCAGTCGAGACCCAAACGTTTCTGGACGCCCACATTTTCACGGTAATTTAATGACAGAGCTATGGAAAATATCCCTTTGAAAAGGGTAAATCGACTACAAAGGGCCATTTCCATAGCTAGGTTTAATATGGTTTAATTACCAAAGGGTATCCAGGGCTTTCAGCCAGGCGCTTGTGTTGAGTGATTGTGAAGCGATTGCTCAGCACCCTGAGTGCAACAGCAGCACAAAAAAAGTTCGCCCGTCCCCGCCTTCAGGTTGAAGGTCAGAGTGGTAGTTTTCGAGCATGGCCTAGAAATCTGATGCTGTGCAATCCTCAAAGAGGGGAATGGACACAGTCTGGGACATATAATTCCCCCAAGTGGAACTGGAACGTCTATATACTTGATATTCACTCGCGTGAAATTTCATAAATTACCATCCACCCAGCAAAACAACATCGATATGGAAATTTCCACCATTCGTAAATCATTTGGTGTGGGGGAAACCCATGCATTATCATGCATTTCTATAGCACTTTCAGACCTCGAAAAGTACCGCAGCCTTCGTGTAGTCTCGGACGTCTACATTGGTGGATTTGCAGTTTCGAGGCTTCTTACCTGCGTTCGGAAAGAACAGGAGATTGATCCATCAAGTGCGTAGATGGGCCATGAGATTAGCAATTCCCGGTTAGTAACTGGTTTATAAACCACAAGACACAAAATAATCCATGTGCTAACTAGTTCACTAACTCCATGGCCCCTCCAAGTGGGGTACTCACTGAATTGATTTTAATATGTTTTAAGTGCAATAGTTACGATATTACATGCATGAAACCATGTGTTTGCCAGTCTTCATACCCAACAAACGGCTGTCCTAGCACTATTCCATTCAACCAATTCTCAAAGGTATATACAAACCTCGAAATTCTGGTGCCCCATGGCTCAAAAAATGCCATGTGTTCTTGTCATTCTCATTGGCTTCAATCATGACCCTAATATGTATGATTCGCAGTGATGATTATATAATATAACAGATGATGATCATGCATTATATGTATAAAATGATAAAGAATGACATAATAATAAGATATAAATAACATAAATTAAATATAATATATATATATATATATGATCTTCACATTCATCATGTATGATTCGCAGTGATTAATATAATCTTCATCTTCAGAGATCTTCCAAGCCTCCATCAGTCTTGGTCTTGGACATCATGCAAACATGCTGTTGGTTGATTGATTCAATGCATTTTGCTGCTTGATTCCCATCCTAAATGTTTAGTAATTACTCCCAATTGTTTATGATGTATCCATTTTCTCATGGTGACATCAGTGAACTCCGCATTTTTTGATGCTTAAATCTCAATTGTTGATGGTGCAAATGCTTAATCCAAACCTCCAATTGTTTGATGGTTAAATCCGATGTTGTTCGATTAAATCACAGGTTTGTTCACCATGAAATTGCCGCTTGAAATCCTCATCAAGCTGTTGGGCTTGAAGAGATTACCCAACTGCTCCGTTAAACTGGGTCTTAAATATCATTACCCTCTGGTTATTTAACATAGCCATGGAAAATGGCCCATAGAAATATATGGTTTACCTATTATTAAACATTGTGATTTTCCATGGCTACGTATGTTAAATAACCAGATGGTATATCAAACATTATCAGACTATATCCCAATAACATCGGGCCCATAAACAAATATTATAGTGATAGTGATGCTTGATAATGGACATCACTAAATCATTAAATATCAAGTTTCTGATATCATGTAACATGTGATATCCCAAAAACATTATCAATATATCTGTCACCATATATCCCCATTATCAAACATGATCAGACATTATCAGACTATTGTCATACCCAATGATAATGTTTGTCTGATAATAGTTACAAATATTGTCTGGTAATGATCATACAAGACTATTGTGTATTTTCATTGGGTGTTACTCTTGCAATGATAATTATCAGGTATTGTCATTTCAAACATTATCAGACATTGTCAAAAATCATGATCTTCACCCAATGCTTGATGATATTGTTTCGTACCAAACAATATCACCATATATCACCATTGTCAAACATTATCAGACATATATCATCATTAGTCACCAATGAATCACAATTAACCATGCTTAACTACTATGAACCAATAATTACCAATAATAACTATATAATCACAATGATCATTACATAATTACATTTATGGTAACCATTAATCACTAGTCATTACTAACCATTAAAATTTACTAACCATTATTAACCATTACGAACCACTATTAACCATTATTAACCATTACTATGCGGATAAATTACCCAATGATTTCAGAGCCCGCCTTTGGTGGCTTTGCCAGTGATAATCCTCTCCAATCCCTCGAGCCCAGGAATGGGCACCACATTGCCTGGCACGGCAGCGTCCGTGGCAGCGTCCGTGGCAGCGTTTGGTTGGGGAAAACCATGGGGAAAGCACGGGGAAATGGAAGAAAACAAGGGGAAAACCATGGGAAATTGCTGGGGAAATGCTGATTTATTGCTTTTTATGGGATTGTTGGTGGGAGTTTGGGTGGAAAAGTATGGGGATGTGATCTAATGTGACATTTGGGGATACATTGGTGGTATATGAGCTAATGACATAACCTATCTA